AAACAGACGATGAACATTATTAACAGCAATTATTATATGATGCAATCAAACATATTGCAAAATGTGGTAGTTCTGTATGTTGTTTCGGGGTTGGCATCATCTGAGGTCCTCTGAGGGGTTGGCGTCATCTCTTCTCCGGTGTTCTGGATCCAGACTGAAGCTTGTGTAAATCTTAGTTACCAATGATGTCAATCCCGTGGCAAAAATAGAGAAACAAATAGAGACATAATTAGCTTAGCTGCTGTTCCAACCAAGCAAAATTGATTTGTTTAACCCAAACTAAAGAATAATAATGTGCATTTGATCAGATATAACTGCAGTACAAGATTATGAGATGCATTATTTGAATGCTTGGCCAAAGAGATGTGTCTTTAATCTAGATTTAAACAGAGAGAGTGTGTCTGAACCCCGAAAGTACTCACCTGTGAATTGACGTCTTCAGTCTCTCAAAGCATGAGTAACAAAAAGTAACTCCATTGCTTAACTCTGCGTCACTCTCTCTTTTCAAAAATAGCAAGTCAACGTCTCTGTGGTTTCTTTCCATAACTAAACCATTGATCACTTTTCTCTCATTCTGACAGGCTCGTCTCTTTATGCCTTTCAGTGTTAGTGATGTACTGTAGCTATCGACAAACGTCAAACCGACAGTGATATGCACTTTCGTGAGTGCATAGACTCAGATGAATCCTCCCAGATCTGTTGTTTAAGAAAGCACAGCAGTTCACGGCCTTGAAGGACAGTTAAAAGAAGTAGGCTGTGAGAAGGAATGAATTTTTTTGATTTCACAGTTCTGACAACCACCGAATCCCCTTCATTTAAAATTGCATCCAGGGGTGTATAGGAGCAGTGGGATATTTCGTTTTTTTTGTGCTTGTAGCCGTCTTCTGCTTTGTGTCTTTGCTAACTCTTTTTCTTCTCCTCATTCACTTTAACCCTTTTCTTTATTTTCCTCTTGTTTTTTTGTTTTTGTATTCTTCTCTGCTCCTGTATCTTCTCTGCTCCTGCTGGCTCATCCTGCACTTCCTTGTTTAGTACAAGAAGCGGAACAGGAAGAAGTTAAAGCCGTAGCAGAGGTTCAGGCCCCTCGCTCGGCTAAAAAAACCAAGCCGCCTACTCCTCAGACTGGCAGCGCCAAGAAGGAGAAAAAGGGCAAGCACAAAGGTCAGCTGAGCAGCCTGTTAACCATCAGGCCCAGCATGTGCACGAAAATCTGTGTGTATGAGTGTATCTGTGTGTGTAAAGGACATTTGTATCATCCAGTGATTCCGTTTGTGTCATGATCAGCATTACCTGCGCTGTACAGAAGAAAAGATTGAGGATGTTCACATGCGTCACAACAGCATGCAAAAAGATTTGTTTGTTCCTTTATGAATGTACGCTACTGTTCAAAAGTTCAGGATCAGTAAGATTTATTTATTTATTTAAATATTTTTTTTTATTTGGCAAGGACACATTAATTTGATCAAAAGTGACAGTAAAGACTACCATGTTACACACACACACACACACACACATATATATATATATGTGCATTTATTTGATAAGAACAGCATTTATTTGATATATATATATATATATCAAATAAATGCTGTTCTTTTGAACTTTCTGTTCATCACAGAATCCTGAAAAAAATCATGGTTTTATGTTTTCCAAAAAAATTGTATACAGCATTCGTAGTATTAAGATTATTTTAAATAGGTTGTTTGCAATCACGTGATTCTGATGACGCGCGAAATGCAGCTGGAGGGCAGGAAGTGATTTTTCTCTCCATAGAAATCACTAGCAGAAACTCAAAATGCCTGTGTTTTGCGTTGTTTATGGATGCTCAAATCGGACAAACCGAGAAACCACAAGGAGCTTTTATCGTGTACAAAAATGTGTTGCTCATAAGGGGGGAAAATTCAAGAATTTGACTGAAAAACGCTGGAAAAAGTGGCTTTGTAAACCTGTGCATTTCGCACGTCATCAGTGACGTCATGTGCAAACAACCTATTGTAACATTTTTCACATTCTTTTCTGTATTGTTGATCAAATAAATGTAGCCTTGTTGAGCATAAGAGACTTCTTTCAAAATGTTTAAACGGTTGTGTATTTTTTCCAAGGTTTTTACATTGATTTCACAACTGCCTTGTTGCCATGCACGTCATCATTTATGTCATCATTTACTCACCCTCATGTCATTCCATACCTGTATGACTCTCTTTCTTCTGTAAAACACAAAAAAAGAAATTATGTTGAAAATATTTTTTTCTTTTTTTCTTTCTTTCTTTCTTTCTTTTGTGTTCAGCAGACACCCTCATGTCATTCCATACCTGTATGACTCTCTTTCTTCTGTAAAACACAAAAAAAGAAATTATGTTGAAAATATTTTTCTTTCTTTCTTTCTTTCTTTCTTTCTTTTGTGTTCAGCAGAAGAAAGAGAGTCCTACAGGTTTAAAACATAAAGTTAATTTGCTTTCTAAGTGGAAAAAAGTAAACCAATAAAAAGCATATCATTTAAGTCAAACAGCAGCTACTGTAATTTGCCATCTCTCATGTGGTGTGCTTGCTTAAACTACCACAGCTACTGTATATACAATCTTCTCATGTCTTCATGTTCTCCGTACTGTGTTTTTGTATTTCATTTCCCCTCATCTAAATCCATCTCCCTGTGAGAGCGTGTTGAGGATTTTTTTTCACCGCTTTCTCTGTCAATGACAGTGTGGCACAGGGTGTTAATGAACGTGCCCCTGGAGAGGAACCAAACCGCTGTTCTACTGCCAATCTTTTCTCAAGGAATAACGAAATCCCCTCTAATACTGCTTAGGAGCAGCTGCTGTCTGCCTGCCAAGAGCAGTGCTGAGATGACCTACTGCAGCCTTCATCGATACAAGACACAAACATTCATGAAATAGACAAATAGACGTATGGGCTCCATCCATCAAACGGTGGCAGTGGTGATGCTTTTAGCTCAACGTCAGCACCAATACTATAGAGAAATACTATATTTAGCTCAATGACTCACACAAGGGAGCATTTGGATTTCTTGGGGGCGAAAACTTTTATTTCTTGCTTTTCGTTTGCTGAAGGTATGACTTTTAATGGAGTAGCTGACATGGACATAAACTAGCTTACAAAATAATAAAAGAGTAAAGTTGAGTTTAATACAGTGCTGCAGGGATGATGTATTAGACCAACCCAGAATTAGCCATTGACAAAAAGCCAATAGGATTTTCCATTTCCATTTAGATTATTGCCTAAAATAAGCTGTGTGACCAACAAAAGTTTATAATTCTTATACATTTTGTTCAAGATAATCTTCACAAATGATAAATGGTATAATCTTGGGGAAAAATATGATTTATGAGCTTTGATTCTGTAGTTCAGTATGTATTTAGAATGGCTTGCAAGACCTTGAATGTAAACACAATGAGGCTGTAAAAGCGAACTAGTTAGTAGATGAGTTTTCCTGTTCTGGGTGATCACATTTAAAGGGATAGTTCACCCAAAAATGAACATTTTGTAATTAATTACTCAACCGCGCGTCAAATTCTGACACGGAAGAGAAGAAATTGTTGAATAAAGTTGCTATTTTTGTTTTCTTCATACACAAAGTATTCTCATAGCTTCATAAAATTAAAACCACTGATGTCACATGGACTATTTTAACGATGTGCGTACTACGTTTCTGGGCCTTGAACGTGGTAGCTCCATTGCTGTCTATGCAGGTTCAGAAAGCTCTCAGATTTCAACAAAAAAATCTTAATTTGTGTTCCGAAGATGAGCAAAGGTCTTATAGGTTTGGAACAACATGAGAGTGTGTAATTAATGGCATAATTTTCATTTTTGGGTGAACTATCCCTTTAATGTCCCCACCAACCGAGAAGGGTCTGGCTGCAGCCTTGCACTTGCATTCTCAGACTTGCATTCTCAGACTTGCACTCTCAGACACTTGCGCTTCCGCTAGCGACGTCACTTGCAGTCTTTTTTATTTTTTATTTTGTTTTTTTTACTTTTTGTTTGAATCTCAACATTTTACAACAGTAGCCAGGTGGTGAAGACAAGAAAAAAGAAACGAAATTACAATGTCACTTGCAATCGCCACTTGCACTCTCCGATACCTGCGACGTCACTTGCAATCGACACAAATCGTGCGTGTTGCCAATGGAGACAAGAAGCTGTGGTGGTGATTAAACGATTAAAACTAATTTTATACTGTAACGTACAGGGTCCTGCAAGAAAAAGACAAGACCCGCAAATCCATTAATCATTAATCAAATCCATTAATCACCAAAATCCATAAACTTAATTTGATCTTTTAATAGCACTATCTTAATACATTAAGCCATAGCCTATTAAGTGTTTATGGTTTTCTACGGAGGTTTAAAAGCGCTTAATGAGAGACTTTGCGCATTGTGTTCATATTCTGCTGTTCTGTGGCCACGGGTTTGCGGGTCTTGTTTTTTTCTCCTACAGATGGCTTGCAGGACCCTGTACGTTACGTTACAAAATTAGTTTTAATAGTTTAATCACCACCATTGTCTTGTCTCCATTGGCAACACGCACGCTTTGTGTCGATTGCAAGTGACGTCGCAGGTGAGAGTGCAAGCGCAAGTCTGCAGCCAGACCCTTTTGCATCGACCTCTAGTACCAACAATTTAGCCACTTGTTTATTAACCACCTTTTTCAAGACAAGTAATATATATATATAAAATCACAAGTGTTATCTTGAATTAAATGGGCAAATATCTTGAGCTTGTTTTAACCACAGACCTTATTTCAGGCATTTAACTAAACACCCACCCAAAAAAATTTATTGACTTCAGGACGATGGAACTGGTAGTGTAAAAATTTTATTTTCAGGTTTTAAGACTCGTTCCTGCAGCACTCTGTTACGTGAGAAGTGAACCTATAGTAAGCACGTCCTCTAAACATGCATATTTTTTGTCAATAACTTTATGCAATCCACACAAAGAAAGATGTATGTGCATGCCGCCACATGTACATGTGACAAAACACTCCCATTAAGCAGTTAGTCAAAAAACTTAGTCAAAATCATCATATACACTTATATATCAACTGTAGTAACAATAAACTCAAAGTTATTTGTATAATTACTCACCGATATTATGGAATTGTGTGTCAGCTGCAGTCTTGATGTGGGAAAACAAGATGGCAGTGGATCAGAAATTTCTCAAACCGAACCTCGATGACATCAGTGGTCACATGGTTTTCACAGAACGCAAAATTCTTGATTTGATGTGAAACAAATATTTTCAATTACACCAACAAAACATACTTTTACTTTCAGTTAACTAAACAATTTACTTTAGCTCAATGACAAGACAGAAAGGTAAATTATTTAAGTTGGATCAAGTATAAAATATTCTAATAAAATTAGTAATTACAAGGCATATGCACTTTTTCAGTGTGGTTTTGACTTTATCAAGCTAAGTTGGATGGCTGCTTTCTTTTGTTTTACAAATTAAATTTTACAACCACAACATCTGGTCTGGAAACAGGTATGGATGTGGTTTGGAAGAAAAAAAGACAATAAGTCAGTCAGATATGCCTAAAAAAAGAAAACCAGTTTTTTTTGCTGCATGTCTGAACACAGCTATTTCTGCACTTGTTGCTCTTTTATTACGGTGCTGCTAGTCGTCTTCTGAGACGGCGACAACTGAACCATCATTTTCTCCCCCACACTCATGTAGTGGCCCTCGACACAGGTTCTGTCAAGACCACTATCGTCAAAATGATAGATACTTAGCATAAAGTTTGGTTTGGCGGTATGGTTCTGTTCTGGGCAAAAACCTCCCTGCCCATCCATGCAGCCTGTCATGAATGAGCAGGGAGAGCAGCAATAATAACACCCCTAGGGTTAACAGAACAGAACAAAGCAGATATAATTAATGTACTTAATGATATTTAAGTGTACAGAGTTCAGCTCCAACCCTGAAAACAAAACTCACCTGCCTATAGCCTTAGTAATCCTGAAGACACTGATTAGCTTGTTCAGGTGTTTGATTAGGGTTGGAGCTGAACTCTGCAGGACTGCGGCTCTCTAGGACCGAACTTGCCTACCCCTGCTATAGGTAGATGTGATCAGCTGAGAATCAGCTGATGCAAGTTTGACTCACGTGACCTGCCAGAACTAACGCTAACGCTTAATTTATGGTGCTTTATACATGACATAATCAACAAAAACAGATCTGTGACTCACAAATGATGATTTAAAATCATACATGCTATATCTGGACCCAAAGCTTTGAAAGGATAAGCTGATGCAAACGTCTTGTTCATTTTATGGAGACTATTCTTGATCGATCAATATTCTCTATCTCTCTGGCTTTTTCTCTGATGATTACTTACATTTTTAAGGAGCCCCATCACAGGTCACTTTAACTTCAGTGACAATCATAGTCTAAATGCAATACTGATTTTTGTGCAATCACGAGCACTAATGCCTCTCGGCCATCTAGTCAGAGCTAATTCTCTGACATTGTTCACCAGATGAATCCCTGGAGGGGGACAAAGGGTCTCGATAGCTATAATGACTTGATTTGACCTGGTTGGATGCATGGATGGAGGGTAGCTATAATCTGGACAGTTGCATGTAGCTGTGCTTGTCTGGGACAATGTGTTCTTTCGCTGATAGTGACTAATTGGATGAAATACAAAACCCAGGCTGACATAAGAGCATCTGTAAATAGACGACGGCAAATTCTTGAAACCCCAAGGGCGCTTAAAAGCAACAGCACATGCAAATTTCATTGAGAAGGTTATATATTGCATACACTACCAGCCAAGAGTTTGAAATGATTAAGATTTTTTAATGTTATTAAAATAAGTGTCTTATGCTTACAAAGGCTGCGTTTAATTGATCAATTAAAAGTAATATTGTGAAACATTATTACAATAAAAAAAATAATTAAATAGAAATAATAAAAATTTCTATTTGAATATGTTTTAAAATGTATTTATTCCTGTGATGGCAAAGCTGAATTTTCAGCAGCCATTACTCAAGTCTTAAGTGTCACATGATCCTTCAGCAAAAAAGAAGGAAATAATCAATACTTTAAAGGGGTCATATGATGCGATTTCAATTTTTCCTTTCTCTTTGGAGTGTTACAAGCTCTTGGTGCATAAAGAAGATCTGTAAAGTTGCAAAGACTAAAGTCTCAAATCCAAAGAGATATTATTTATAAAAGTTAAGAGTCAGCCACACCTACCTAAAAAACACTTCAACCCAAATATTCAGATGTGTGCAGCACATTTTATGGAGGACTGATTATTGATCCTGGTAGAGTAGACTACATTGCCGGCTGTTATGACTCACAGACTGTAAGTACGTTTTCATTATTTAAAGAGTTTTTATATTTT